CCTCCTCCTCCTTCCCCTGAAGCGCCGCTCGGTGCCGTGGGGCTGCAGCAGGGGGGGGACATGTGGGGGGATCATGTGTGGGGATGCACCAGGGGGCCCACCTGGGATAACCCACACTGGGTAACTCACAATCAATAACCCACATCAGGTAATTAATTCACCCAGGATAATCCGCACCAGGTAATCTATGCCAGATAACTCACCTGGGATAACCCACACGGGATAACTGACCCACCCTGGATAAGTCACGCAGGATAACCCACGCAGGGTAACCCAGCGGGGAGAACGCATGCCAGAATGACTCACCCAGGATAACCCATGCCAGAAAACCCAGGGCAGGATGACCCACCCAGCATAACCCATGCAAGCTAACCCACCCTGGACAACCCACCTGTGGTAATCCCCACCGAGGGACTCCCCTGGTGCGGGATGCATCACACCCGCAGCGCTGCTCGGACGGCTGCGCACACAGACACACAGTCGGTCTTGTAAACACCGGGAGCCGGCCCCGCACATGCCGAGGTGATCGATGCTCTGTGCGCGTCAGGCCATTGTGTGCCCGATGGTGGCCTCAAGTTGCGCCAGAGCAGGTTTAGATCGGATATTAGGAAAAATGTCTTTACGGAGAGAGTGGTCAGGCATTGGAACAGGCTGCCCAGGGAGGGGATGGAGTCACCATCACTGGAAGTGTTCAAAAAACGCATAGATGTGGCGCTTCGGGACATGGTTTAGTGGGCATGGTGGTGTTGGGTGGATGGTTGGACATGATGATCTTTAAAGGTCCTTTCCAACCTTAATGATTCTGTGATTCTATGACCACACTTGCAAAAATCATGCCACTTAGATTTCACGGGTGGGGCCCCCACAATAGCTGTGTTAAACCCAGTAAATTTCAGAGCGGAGGCTTGGTTAGAAGCTGCGGCAGGTAACAGCAGCGTGCCTTAAAAAAATGGAAAGCTGTCTTTTTCTCAGCTGTGTGCTTCGTCAGCCTCTTACCGTGTGATGTATTTATACTCTTCGGGGGTGTAGTTCAATGCTCACATTTTACTAATGGATTGGATGCCTGATACTTGCCACTCAGGTCAAGCCGCTGTAGATTCCTTAGTGACGTAATAGATTTGGAGAGCTGGCTGATATAATTATTATTTGCAATTAAACAGACCAAATACTCCAGTTCCACCACGCTGTCTGGAATCTCCTTTAAGGCACTGTGAGATATGTCCCGTGCCCTGAAGCAAACCAGCTCAGATAGCTCCTCTGGCATTTTAGTTAACTGATAAAGGAATAAAACAAATGATTTATTTAGATACAACTCTCTCTCTTTGGCAAAACATTTAAAAGGTAACTTTCCTGCAGGCAAAATAACATTCTATAATTTAATTCCAACAATAAAAGCTCTGACCTTTGATTCTAGTGGAAGCTAATTTGGTATTTTCCAATAAAAATATGGATGCTGAGCGCAGAAATTTGCAGGGAAGCTTTTTAGACATGATAATAGGCAATAAAAAACATGCGGTAGAATATTACCTCCACAGCTGGAGCTTTAGGAGACATTCTTTTGGTCATTGTTGTCATTAAAGAAAAAAATTACCCTCTCAGAACACTCTTTAATTGTAGTTCCTGAATTTTTTCAGCCACAAGGAAATGAAACATGCATTTTTCTTCTTTTTGGTTCTGTTCTTACTTCGGTCTTTTCCAATTTTGATTTTCCTTCTTGGAATGTCAATTGCTCTCTATTTATTGTGGAAACTAAAGCTACAGCTCTGAGAAATGGGCGTAAGATCACATTCTTTTTGTTCCTGAGTCTGAAGGAAGCCAGCCCTTGGAAAGGCTCATAACCACACCTGAAATCATATGAAGAAATATGAGCTTTTTCTGAAATCAGGCATGAAAGACTGATTTTGCAAATTCTGGTGAAGAGAGAGAGATTCAAATGCCTAACTCATCAGGGGATTACTTTGCCCTGTTCCTTAGTATTAAAAAAAACCCACCACCAAAAAACAAATTAAACTTTGGATTTTAGATATGTGAAGCAATTTTCTCTGCTATAAGAAATCAGGGATCCAATATAGCTTTTCTTGTTTGACTTAGTGAAAGTTTAATGACCATCTAATTTTAAGAAGTATGACACGAGTTGGAAGGATTGTTTCACACAGAGGAATCCTAGAGGCAGACTTATCCACCAGATTCCAGCTAGTCATTTTGTCTCTTGATATCCTTGGGGATGGAGAACACCTACATTCTTAGTAGTACTAGAGAAATAAAAAATAGATGGTCTATTTCAGATCAATCTGATTATCAAAGTTTCACCTCAAGATATACCTCAATGACACTATACAAAGTGAGATTAATGTCTAGTATTTCTAATTAAAAGTGCATGCTAATAGGTTTTTGGCCAGTTCTGGTACTAAAAATAGGTAAATGCGTACATGTATTTGACTCTTTAGAAACTATTTTTCTGTTCTTTGTTTACTCTAGATGTATTCAAACAGAGGAACTTTTACATCTGTTAGGAGGAAGTCTAGTAATAATAATTTTGCAGCACAACAATCTCTACAACACGTTTTTCTTACCTAAAGGAAATACTCTCTTACCTTCAACCCATTTGTTTGACACACTGTCAGTGGCTCCAGCGAAGAAAGACGGCATATTTCAGCCGGAAAAGATGCAAACTGGTTGATACATTTAGGTCTTTGATCACTTCCAGATTGCTAATCTGTAAAGGAATGCTCTTTATCTGATTATTTGAAATGTCGAGTGCTTTTAAAGACTTTGAAGACAATAGTTCTTCAGGAAATGACTCAAACTTACGACGGTGTAAGAGCAGCACCTGGGGAGCCTTCAGCTCGGACACCACTGCTGGCATGCTATTGATTTCATTCTCACTTACACCCAAGTAAACTAGTTTTGTAAGGCTGCACAAGTGTGTAGAAAATGAGAACAGGTTGTTTTTGTTTAACTCTAGATGCTCCAAATCTTAAATGTCAGAAATTCCAGGTATTATTTCTGAAATAGAGCTGCCACTAAGATTTAAGGGTTTAAGATCAAATAGCGCACACAACACATTTGGAAATGGAGAGAGCTTGTTGTCCCTGAGGTCAGCTTCCGTTATTCGTGTACAATTTTTTTAATTCAACAGGCATGTATGCCTTTCCAGAAAACTATTTGGAGATGTTTTTTCAATGTGGTATTTGTTCATCCAGTGAGTCTAGCTGGTTTCTACTTAAAGAAAACTCCTTTAAATGTTTAAGTCTCTGAATATTATCAGGAAGTTGGATTAATTGATTATTATATATAATAAGATGTTTTAACGTGGTACAGTTGCAAAGATTATCTGCAATGCTTTTGAATAAATTTTTTTGCAAGGTTCAGATACCTAAGTTCTCCACTTTATCTGAAAGAAACCCCAATTTGTTACCGTCAACTCCGAGTTCTTTTCATTTTGTCAACCAGCAAAGCTGCACAGGCAAAAATATAATTATTGTTACTTACTGTTACTAATTGAAAATTCTTGTTGTTCCTTGAGCTCTTTTAATATCCTTTGGTAAACTCTGAATTAAGTTCTCACATATGCTGAGATTAGGAAAGTAGCAGAGAACCCTTGGGAATACTGAGATTTGACTGGAAGCAATGTTGAGTACCTTCAGTTTTTTCATGTCAGCTATGGTATCTGGCAAAGTTTTTAACTTGTTCTTTGCAAACTCTAAAGTTTCAAGTTTTTTCAATGCAAAAGGAACTTCATAAATATTTTTGTGATTGAGAAAGGGTTCCTCACCATTTACAAGCTTTGACAATTCTTTAGGGAGACACGGTAACTGGTTGTGACTGACCTTCAGTACTGTCAGTTTATGAAGCAAGGATATTTCTCGGGATAACAGTGTCAGCCTATTTCTTTCAAGTCACAGGATTTCCAGATTAGCTAGATTAACTATATTTGAATGCAATGTTTTTATTTCATTGTTGTGTAAGAGAAAATATTTTAAACTTTGGGTTTCAAAAGCAAGCAGAGGCATGTTCCCTAGCCCCTTATCATTTAGTCTAAGTGTGAAATTCTCATCTTATTCTTCAGGCAACATATATGATGATCCGTTTTCATCACTTTCAGGATTCATTGCTGATAGCAATATGTCTGGTCTGGCACCTCCACTGGCAGCTTCTGGAAGGATTTGGTTCTCCGGTATCCTTTTCAGCTGATGCAAGTAGTGTGTGTTTTCTCACACCTGTTCCAGAGACACCTTGAGGCACTGCGGCAGCATTTATCTTGGCATCAGGTACATTTTGTACCTTTTTTCAAGTAAATCCATTCTTGATTTATTTTCTATAATTTTATGGCTTTACTCATTGCCAGCTGCTTTAGGAACTTCATGTGAAATATCACTCAAACTTAGGTCTGCTACTTTAGGATTCCCTGATGAATGTAATGAGTCCTTACTGGCATCATTAACTGGCATCTCATGAAAGCTTTTTTTCAGTCCTTTCATATTTAGACCACTTGGAATTTCATCTTCTCCCTTCTCTAGAGACACTGTTCCTTTTTTCTGGGTTGCTAATTGATTCTTATCAGGATTTTTTACAAAATCAAACTGTGTGAAATCTATAGGGAGTAATATGTTTTAACATGAGCAGACTGAGATAGCAATTGTAAGAGATCTTGATAAAAATCTAGACTTCCACATTTGTGAACTTTCCGATGTCTCTGTTTTCCCCCAAAAAGGGATTACTTTACTGCAGTGCTTGCTACTTTAATACCTTGTTTTTCCAGACAATAGACTACAGACCACAAAACATACATCACAAATGTGTGATTTGTTGCTTGCCATTTTATAGAATAGCCCACCCTGTCTTGGACAACAGACATTGCTCAGCTTAGCAGACATTCCACAGTTCCCTAGAGCTCTGTCCTCACGTTCTTCCTGCTTTGAAGTTTAATTTACTATGTCAAACTTTTGTTCTCTTGCACTAGTGATGTATCATCATAAACAGTATTTTCCTAACTTCACCTCACTGCCAGTTGACAAACCAAAGGTCAAAGGTTGGTCTTTTTCTCTCCCTTTATAGGCAGATTTATACTGTCTTATGTTATAAAGCCTTCAAACGTGTCCTTCAAATAGATCTACATCTTTTCTTAGCTCCTTTAATACAAATCTTTCTGCTGATTGTTAAAGTTGTACGAAACTATTATAACACCCTTACCCGATATTAATAAAAAAGCTTTAAAGTCAAGTGGAACCTTTGCAAACCCATGTACATTGTTTCTGTTGATCCTGTACCTGCATTTTTCAATAACAGCCTATTTTCTGAAGCATATCTAGCTATGAGCTAACAAAGGTAGGGAAACCCCTGCCTTTCTAGAATAACTTTTCCCTGTCATATCCCATAGCTCTCCAGTTTAGAGAGAAGGATGTCATGTTTAGAGAGAAGGGGACCATGTCAAAGGCCTTACAGAAGTCCAGATAGGCAATATCGGTAGCTCTTCCCTTGTCCACTGATGTGGTCACTCCATCATACAAGGCCACTATGTTGGTCAGGCAGGACTTGGCCTTGGTGAAGCCATGCTGGCTGTCTTGAATCACGCCCCTGTCCTCCATGTACCTTAGCATAGCTTCTAAGAGGATCTGTTCCATGATCTTCCCAGGCACAGAGGTGAAGCTGATGGGTCAGTAGGTCCCAGGGTCCTCTTTGCTACCCTTTTTGAAAATGTGTGCAATGTTTCCCTTTTTCTGGACTCCAGGGACTTCACCTGACTGCCATGACTTTTCCAATATCATGAAGAGTGGCTTGGCAACTACATCGGCCAATTCCCTCAGCACTCTTGAGATGCATCTCATCAGGTCCCATAGACTTGTGCATCTTCAGGTTCCTCAGGTGGCCTCGAACCTGATCTTGCGGGTTCACTTCACCATGGCAAAAGGCATCTGATGCAAGATGGGCCCACTGCTCACTCGTAGTGAGGCCTGCACTTGGAAGTGAACAATCCTCGGGTCAGCATGCTAGCCTGACCATTCATTATTCTGCTTGATAAAATTGTGCCTGTTTTTCCACAGCTTTAGGTTTTCAGCCACTCTTTTGCCTTACTGTGCCTGGTTGGAGTATTCTACTCTCAAATCTTTGCTTCATTGGCTATACAGTTGCTCACTTCTTAAAAAAAGCACTTGTTAGCTAAACTACAGGAATTGAGCTGAGCGTCTGTTACTTCCAAAGGCCTAATTTTCAGACTCACCATTCTTGCAGCTTGTTTTCATTATTTTTCGCTTGGTACAGATAGGAGGATTGTTACTAGTGGTCTGTCTCTACAGTGCTAGATTTCTCAATGTTCCAGCTTTACATTTCCCCACTTTTAGAAGAAAAACTTGTACACTCCTTTGTCAGAGCAACACAGTTGAAACTCCTGCGTACCCAGGTACCAGAAGCCTGCTAGGATTGCATAACCCAGCTTTCGCTACTTAACAACTCCACTGACACGCAACATCTGCAAACTTCTGGTTTGCCATGACTCAGAGTTTCCTGTTTTCCTGATGAAATCCTGAGTGGTTTCCAAGGTGTGCTATGTTAATTTGTAGTCACCACAGGACCCTACCTATGATCCTCTCTGATGATCTTCCTTCACACCTTGCAAAGATGAGCCTGTTACAAAACACTGCTCTTTAGAAGTAACACCTGCTTGGCAAGACATTTGATGGCACTTTCATGCTCACTGCAAGAACAAAACCAACAAACATGCCATGTTGCAAACAATTTATTAGGCAGTAATAAATAGGAATTCAGCAGAAAGAACTATACAGCAATAAGGCATATTATAATACTATTGTTAAATATGCAACTGACACACATTTTAACATACTTCCTCCAGTTTTCTAACAGAAGTGCTATGTAGAGAAGTGTATTTCTGATACCAGTGCCAAGTGATAGCAAGGATGCACTACGAAGGATCTGACTGTTGCATTATTTACCTTAAATAAAATATAACAGTCCATGAAGATTCACTGTTATTTATGCGAGTGAAGTTTAAGTAGAAAAGTATAGCTTACTAAGAAGGTTACAAAATGTAAGTTTCCTGTTCACTTATTTTTTAACTGCTTACTGCTTTAATGTCTTAAACTGCACTTACTAGTAGTAAGGTATGACTGAAGTTACTACACAACAGCACAGTTCCTAACATTCATTTTAACTTTTATTTGAAAACTGAGAGGCTAGTGCTAGTTTTTTTTTTTTAAACTTTTTTACAAAACATTGCACACTGTTTTAGCATGCAGTTTACACGGAAGAAATAGTCAAGTGCACTTAAAACCCTGAAATACAACCAGAAATTTTAAAGATTTGTGTTATGGATACTATGTTAACGTACAAGGATATGTTTCAGACTGCAGAGGGTCCCCACCTTATGCTTGGGACCCAACTCGTTGAGACCCAGTCCTGACTCTGCAAAGAGCAGGCATAATGCTTACAAACTGTATCTGAGTTTCTTGCATTATAAATCTTCATTCCTGCATCGTGCACTGCTTGTAGCCTCAAAAAACTGAAATAATGACTAGGAAAATTAGTTTAACAGAAATAACTTAGTACCTCCTATATGAGTTTTTGTTACTGCAGATGTGTTGCAATCCAGGGTAAGATTTATTAAACTTTCTGAAGTCCTCTGAGTAAGATTCATTTGTAAATCTGTATATCCTCCTCCTCCATATACAGATTTTATATTGCACAGCAAAAGTAAAATTCCATTTTTTTTAAAAACAAGCATGCTAAACATTTAATATGGCTTCTGATTTAAAGTATTTCCCTTTTGACATCCTCATGCAATATTTTAGAATAAATATGAATATAAAGTATGAGAAAGTTAAGCATAAAAATAAAGCCAGCTGTAACGTTTGTCAGAAACCAAACAAAAAGCAAGAGTTTATCAAAAGTAGTTGCTCCAAGGTCTAACTGGTCTTTTAAGCACACTTGTCAACAGTATCTTAAAAATAAAGTATGTCTACAAAATACTGTAACATATATAACCTCCTTGATGTTCCACAGAATGACACGAAAGGTAAACAGGTTAACTGAGACTTGCTTAATGGCACTGGTAGTCCCATAGTCCTCTGGGAACAAAAGCCTTACTTGATTCATGCTCATCCAACTCAGTAAACCATTTACATTTCATTAGCTTTATTGGTTCAGCTCAAGCCCTACAATAGCTTATATATGAAACACGAAAATATTTATAAAAATAATAGATATGTTGTATATGTTGTAAAAAAATAAACCAAGCAGCTTCTGTACAAAGTTAAAAAAATGTACAAATTGACTTTTCTGTTGTGTAAAATTTCATTTACATGGAAGTCTTCTGTTATGATGAGGAATAAATTGGTTTTTGCTTAGTCGTAAGATGCTGTTTTGTAACTATTGTTCATTTCCATCATTCATTTCTTTCACTTGGCATTAACTGGCCATTTAATTTCATCAGAAGTTTTATGACGAGACCTGCCTATATAAAGACATACAATTAAATTCTATCAGCATTTCAGAACTGTGATGCAATTAAGTATATGACAAATGCAAGTGGATAAAAATTATGTTAGAAGTTACATCATTTTAGAAACAAGGAAAATAAAACCTAGATTTTTCTCATATCAGAAAGTGTTTTTCAAAATACTCAGTCACTTCCCCTATAACCACCTTAATATATAAGAATCAAAAGTAACTACTATCAAAGTATGCAAGATACTCAAAGCTGTAATTTTGTCACAACACATTTTGGCATGACATATTATCACTGATGCAGACTACAGGAGAAAGAAGCATTTTCCATCAGAAATCCACAAACACTATCAAAAATCACCAGCAGCAATTGCAGTGAAGTTGCTTTATAACACTGCCTTCACAGGTCCTCAGTCGTATCCAATCTCAAACTCTGCTAGTTTTGATAGCAAAGTTACCAGCTCTAAGTCTGTGATTCTCATCATATTTGGAATTATCCTTAGAGTCTGAGGGATTTGGCACATGCAACAAACAGTTTCAATTAAAAAAAAAAACCACCACCACCACCACCCCCCAAAACCCCTTTACCTAATGATTACAGATGCATTTTATGTATTTTGAACCCTAAAGGCTTCACATGCTAGGAAAACAAGCAAACATGCTGAAATATTAAAAATAAAGTTTTAAGATCATTTTTGTGGGGGCTTGGCTTGGGCTTCTTTTATACTGTACAAGGGTGGTCAGTCTCAAGAAAGAAGAGGCATACATCTAGTTTAGGAAAAAATAATTGAACATCAAGTATGAAAAAAGACAATGCTTACCTGTTTGGTATGCACAATAAAGCTCATTTTGTTTTCCAGACTGTGGATTTGAAAGCATGTATCTCCATCTCCCAACTGCCACATAAAGCAACCATACTTAAGGCTGAGGAGTAAAGCCTATAATGAAATGTACGAAACTGTCGCTCAGAAAATACTCTCCATACTTACAA